GAAGTGTCATCTACCCTCTTGATACTGCACTTTATCCTCACAGAGACAGGGTAACTGTTTCCTGCTGCAGAACTGTGTTACCTCCTTACTGTTTGAAAAGGGTTTGACCATCTTGAGCTAGAAGGGCAAAGCTAAAATATCCTTATTGCTAAAGAAGAAGAGAGTAGTAATGAGAACCAAAGCTGAGCCTGGGACAGTCCTCTCCTATCCCAATGGACCATGTCTGCTTCCAGCATCCATTCAGGGAGGTAGGGGCTCAGACACAGTGCCAGGTCACACTTCCCACATGTTCTCTTTGGTGGCTCTTTTGTTCTGGGAAGCACACATGCATCAAGTCAATTTTGTCATTTAGATACCAAGAGAAGGAGTGATTTTGCAAAAAGTTTCTTTCACTGTTAGAGACAGAACAGCACTTTGGCTTTAAATAACTTGACCTACATCAAAATCATACCCTTGACAATCATCTGTGAGACCACTGATGTGACCAAAATTTTAAAGATGCTAAATTTAAGTTATATACTTAACCCTGAGTACCTGCAGAGAAAGCTGTCAAACTTTACCAGGGTACAGAAAGGTCTAATTTCAGGAACAGCTGCACTAACACTTCAGACTGTTCATTTTTGCCCTCAGTTAGCTCAGTAAGAGTCCAGTTTGCTTAGCTCTGTGGTCAGTATTAACCTTTTCCAAGCCTTGTGTCACTGAAATCACAGCTAAAAGTCAGGATTTGCTAAGTATGAAGGTTGGCACTCTGTTGGAGATGGGCTGCAACAGGTCCAGAAGTTTCTGTTTCTAGCTCTCACTGCTCCTGGGTCACGTGTAACTGAACCAACATAAAATTTAGCCTAAGGATAATGCTTTAACTCCCACCCTCAAATAAACTACCCCCATTAATTTGTAGCAGTATTAAACATGACCTACCCAAAACAAAAAACCAATTCACTCTATGCTAACCATTGTGAAGGACCCTAAATCAATGAGGTAGCTCTGCTTAGATCTTCCCTTTAATGAGGTACCTGAAGAAAGAACCAAGGTTTTTAAGTTAAAAAGGAAGATTACACCACAGTAACATCCAGAATACCTAATTTTAATTAGATAAAGTGGATATTGATGATGCTAGAACAAACTGTACAACATTCCTCATGCCCAATGTGTCATTAGATTTGGGAACTATTCCCCAGGCTTGGTTTCAGGTAATTAGGTGACTTCCTGGGCTGCAGTAAACTTTACCCAGTGCCTGACAGACCCTAGCAATGTTCTCTTCTATCACCTTCAAAGTCTGGCTTTCTGCTTGTTCAGCCATCTTCACACTCTGCTTGTCTCCAAGACTCTGCTCTTCAGGAAAAGGCTAATTTTTCCTCCTTTTAGGAGAGTCTTAGCACTCAACTCACATTGTTTAAAGAAATTTTGCATAAAATCGGGAACAAACATATCAGGCACACTTTTTACACTGCCGAGACAAGGGTAAAGATGTAGGAGAGATTTGCATATTCCACCTTGAATGCTGACACAAAAAAACCCACCCAAACCAAGGTATAGTGAGCACATCATAAGCTAAAGTTTAAATATATCACATAAGCCTGAGAGATTGCACATTTGGTTTGTTTTCATGTTATGGTCAGGAAAACAGCACTGAACTTAAACTGCTTTTATATTTCACTTGAACAGCTGAAGGTAGAGATAAAAACTAACCTAACTTTTCGTAATGGATGCTATAAACAAGGCTATAAAAGTCAGAAAACAGTTACTCAGGCATTGAAATATTAATAATAGGAAATAATAATCTCAAAGAAAAGCATTCTCTTTCCATGTCTAAGATTCCTGCATGGTATAACTGTGAGAAAGACAAGGAGGTGGTGCAAGTATGATACTCACTATGTAACCTCAGGATGAGTACCAGTGTAAGTGATGAAAAGACCAGGGCTGAAAGAGTTACGAGAGTTACTCAGAGGATACTCAGTCTCCTAAAGAAATAATTCCAGACCAGAACTAAAAATTTTCATATTTGAAAGGGAAAACCCCTCATAGCAGTAGCAGATTTTCCTATTAGTGCTAACAGAGTAAATGATAATTCTTTTTGCCCTTGATTTTTCATTGTTCTCTAAATACACTCTTCCTGCTCCCTGCCAGTTCTTAAGCTGCCCCACAGTCACAATGAATTACATTTTGCTGTGAGCAAATCAGAACTGGTGTGTTAAAAAAAAAAGGAACATTCCTTATTCTGCTTTATTTAGTTGTGCCAGTGCTTTGATGAAAGGGGAAGGAGGCAATCTTGGCAAACCAGAGCTAGAAACTTCTCATATCCTCTTAACAAGGAGCCCCCTGAATGCCTTATGACACCAAAATCACTGCATATTTTACTAAAATAAATCATAGATTGTTGTTAAGCAATTTTATAATGTTTGAAATTGTAATTGTTTAGACTGTTCTTACTGGATAAAGCGTATTATCCTAAGTAGACCTAGTTAACAGTTTCACAGAAAGTATTTACAATCAAATTACTTATTTGACAGCCGCTTTCTCCTGAAATACATGGATTTTGAAAATTATAATTTTGAATGGAATAGATTAGTTTTGTATATTGAATAATTACTCTTTCACAGACTAAAATAAAATGCTGAATCTTATTAACAAAGTGACTTTCCACACCACTCATTTAAAATCGTTTGAAGTGATCAAGACAAACTTATCAAAAGATAAGCTTTGTCAAAAGCAGTATCTTGAAATCTTGTTTCACATGAGCATTAAAAGTTCATCTTTTCGCCTGACACATGACAATTTATCAGAATCTTTAGCACACTATCTCAGCTAAATCTTGACATTTTCATGAGGTGGAAAATCTGTTTCTACTTTTCATGAGTTCCAATTCTCTCACTATTAAAAGAGCAATAACACAGTCTTGCAGTAAATATTAACAGCAGCAATAGGTGCATTTTCAGTAGTTTAAATAATGTGTTTCGCCAAAGAGGGAGAAGAATCTTATCCTGAACGGTTATTCACTAAGCCATCAAATTATTCAAGGCAAAGATAAAAATGTTTGAAAACAATTGCAACTTTCTATTCATTTAATAGCTTACATACTAAATATAGCCTGTGCTCTAAACATATTGTAAGCCTAGATGAGAAGTTTTGCCTTAATTTCTTCTCTTGACAATTTGTGATAAGAGACAAAAGTGCAAAGGGAACGAGATTATCATTGTTGTATTCAGTGCAGCACTGTGGCAAAGGAGTGGATTCCCACCAATCCTGACACTTCTGGGAAAAAATCACCCAAAACACTAAGGACTGCTATTAGAGAGTGATAAAAACACAATGCGTGCATGAAAGAAGATAAGGGACAGAAGTAATACAAATAATGCACAAAAATATTTAGGTAGACCTATGCAGAAGAACCTGGTATAAATATGAAGTAAGGGATTAAAGTAAAATTTTTTTAGCACACTTCCTGAGAAATGCTGATTTTTCAGAAGGCAACACTCAATCATTATTCACAGCCTCTATGGCATTTGCTCATGTCTGGAAGGAACTGAATTTACAAATGACATTTGCATTTGGTAACTCTGGAACTTTGATTTTAAAGTACTGCACAAATACTACCTAGAGAAAAAAATCAAACAGGTCCAACTAAAAGAAAATTCATGCAAGTCAAATTTATATCTGTCAGCTATTCATCCCAGTAAACTACTGGCCAAACCAAAGTTCTGGTTTCTGAAAAGTTTGATAGATACTTCACTATGTACTTTTAGCAAAAAAAGGACTAAAATTCCCTTAGAATATTAACACTCCAGAATAAAATTAAATGTATTCTGTTATATGTTTAATATCAACGAGAAATTACATTATACCAAAAGATCATCTAAGATAAAAAGCTACACATGCAAATATCAATTAGACAAGAATTAGTCTATACTTTTCCAAATATTTGGGATTACTGTCATTTTGACTATCTTCTCATAATACCCATCTCAGTGATCAATATTCTAAACTTATCAAGTCTTGTTTTTAGGATTACTGTGGCTTCATTCTGCATGTTGTCATCAAGGTAAAGATTGGATCTTTACCCCAAGGAGTTCATAATTCAACAGGTGGATTTGTTTCTAGTACTATTTACATTGAACAGCTCTGCCATGAATAAGATGTCCAAATTTTGCAGATAACATATCATAAATGAGCAGAGATCAAACTGGCAAAGAAGGAAATACTGGAGAAAGTGACACAACATTAAAGAGTTAGGAAGAACCCCAATCTGTGTTAAAGCATTTTTCCTAATTATACAGTTTGATTCACTTCATATTTGGTCTTAAATGAAAACAAGACACAGTGTATAAATAGCAAATCAGTAATGAAGGCAACTTTACAAAAGCAGACAATCAGAAAAAGAAGAGTACTTCAAGTGTAAGGCAGAATACAGAGAAAAAAACAGTGGTGTAAGGACCAGGAGAAAAGAATGAGAGGAGTGGGACTGTAAAGGGTAGAAAACAGAAGAAGCTAATATTTAAGCAAAGGCCCATACTTTTGGATTTATTCTACTCTCAATTTTATCTCTGGTCTATAATAGGGTGAATCAATTAAATTACAGGAATTGCTGGTAACATCCATCCCATGTGAAGAGCACAGGACTGGGCCATGAGTCGTGAAAGCAATTTGAGGCAGAGACTGAAAAGAGACAGTTGAAGTTCTTTAATATTTAGATAGTTTGCCTGAAGGTGGAGAACGAGGGAAACAACTAAAAGAAGTGAAGACAAAAGATAAAGAAGACAATCTTTCACATTGAATAGATGAACTGTATCCAGCACTTCTTTAGGTGATGAAAATGCAAAACCTATTAATGCCCTGTGCATTTTATCCTTGGACTCGATTCATTAACAACTCTGGCTTTACCTTTGGTTTTATATAATCAACCTTTTAGCAATTTATTTACTATGCAATCAGCAAGAAAAATAAGATTATTTTTTGTTCTGAATTGCTAATTCCTAATTGCCTGCTATTTGCTGTCACATTACCTTGCCAACAAGCCCCGACGGTGAGCTGCATGGCAATGTGGGAGGGGTGGATGGGCCAGTCATTGGTCACCAGGTAAGGTTCATATGTGGTTCCATCCATGTACAATGTAACAACGGGAAACTCCACATTGACAATGTAGTAATGCCACTCTTTATCACATATCTGAAAGACAGAATGCAAGAAAAATATTATTTAGCACTTAAGGTGACTAATTGTTATATCCCATATGTTTTTTTAATTGCATTGTTTCAAAATTTCACTCGTGGAAAAGAAATAACATTATTGTAATTTATATATCTCTAACATTAATGAAACCTAAAACAGACAAACAAACAAAAAAATACTCGTGGTATACTTGAAGAATATACAGAGGCATCTTGAAATACACTCTTTGAAAACAAGACATGGATAAAATAGAAAAATCAGACAATTCGGTATTTGCTCAGTATTTTCAATATCAGATTCCTAATGTCTATATCCACTTTTAAGAATATAAAATTTTGTGTAAGAGACGCTTATTTAGGATGTATCAGCATAGTTACTGAAGATCTCTATGAGCTCCAAATTAAGTACGAAAATATATAGCATTTAGTCACTAGATTGGTGAGTTCTTATCAATGATTGCCATTATCAACTTATCACATTAGTATTTAAAGTCCTGTGCAGCACACCAGGATTGCTGCAGTGCTACAAGGACCTCAGCCGTGCTCTGTGGACACACAGACGGCCCAGCAGTCCCTGAGTCCAGCTGATCTGGGCAGGACACTCACATCTTCTCCCCGCTTCATCTTTTGCCCTCAAGCTTCTTGACAGACACTTGGGAAAATTAGGATACATATGGTTTCACTGATACACATCAGCTTTGAAAAGCAGTGGTCATATTTACAGCACGCTTTCAACAGGACAATATTAGTGTCAAATCTCGTATGAATTTCTGAGCTGGACAACCAGGGATTACTGCAAGGTGGCCAAATACAGTTTTAGTTCAGAAATACACACCTAGATGAACCCAAGCCTCTAAAGAGGAGCCTAGTGTGTAAATATCAATGTCTGCCCAATTATTTTTTTCCTTTGTTATATCTTGCAGATTGAAAAATTCAAAGGAATAAATCACATCAAATTGGTAGGATAAATGAGCTGTTTTTAAACCAAAGCAATAGTTACAACAATGCTATTTTCAATTCTGGAGAGATACTTGTTTTGATGTATTAAGAAATGAAAGTGCTTGAATGCAGATATCCTTGCTGTTTCACAGAAGCAAACAGAAAAGTGATGTTTAAACATAACACTTTGTCCTTGGCCAGGTTAAGTGCTATCTGCTGCAATATCTGCCCTTTGAAAGCAAAAGCTAATGTTTTGTTCCAGAAGACATTTCAACAAGCACTTAATCACTTCTATTTCAAATGGATACATTTATTACTGCAGACATCATAGCTCCACAGCAAGAGATAAATGCAGCAAGGGGCTGCTACAGCCTTCCTTTTGTAAGCAGCAGACAGCACAAATGTTTTCTGAAGGTTAAATGAACTGAAACCAAAATTGAAAGTAAATAAATTGGAAGACTGAAAACTTTACTGAACAAACAGCAATCATGTATAGTATTCTGCAGCCCTCCTTTACAAGGAAAAACAGCTTGCCAAGTCTCCTGACCCGACCATTAGCATGTGATGCATCACAGCCTCATGTGTCAGACATTTTATATAAAACAAAACAACTTATACACCTGATTTTGAGAGACCTTGTATGGAAAAAACTACAGGTATTAATATTTGACACTTTTCTGAGAACTGTTTCACGCTATTTCTGTTTTGCAGTCCTAAACTGCATCACTTGGGATGCCCCAAGTGCACCCCAGTGAGTGAGCAATCCTCCTCATATTTAATGAAAGCAAGAGCATGTTAATATAGCAAACCCAAACATTTTTGGACATTGTATACACAGAGAACGTGATAATGTGTACTATGTAATTACTCCATTGACTGATCACTAGGCAGTTACATTTTTCAAAGACAATGCTGCCTGGAAACACAAGATTACATAAAGTCCACACAATTCAAGCCTCCAGCAACTGTGCTCAAGCGCTTCCAAGAAAAATGGAGTTGTGCAACTGTGGATGTCCACACTAGAAAAGTATTTACTAACTTTATTTTTTCTGATACATTCCACCAAATGATCTCTCAGTATATGTACTGGGCCCCAGTGTAAAATCAAATATTCTACAAGGAAGTAAAAATTTCCTTCAGAACTCTGGAATACATCCCAGTCATTCAGCAGCAGGTAGTATTTCATGGCTGGTCATTTCACAAGTAACAAAATAATGAAATAAATAATTGTGGTGTGTAATTTGTTCTGCTGTCATTTCAGACACTTTCTTCACCTTCTAAACATAGGAAGTCAATTTTTTCCTGGCATGTATTCCACAGTGGCAAAGAACGTAATATGAAGCAGTGAAGCCACAAAAAGAAAATTATAAAATATACTACACAGCAAATAAAGAAATTTTAATGTTCTCAAGTAAGAACTTTATTAAAAAAAATCTAATTTATAAAGCTATCTTAATGAGATAAAATTACAGATTAGTAAGCTTGGCTTCCAAATACTGCTCGATGGCTCTAATCACTCTACCACGCCAGTGTCTGCCTCTCAAATGTATTAATCAAAACACAGTGAATTAAGACTGAAGTCTTAGTGCTGATTACAAGCCATTGCATTGGAATATGCTTTTATGAAACAGATAAAAACACACTCCCTATAAATCTTACAAAGTAGGTGTTCCAAGCTTTTGGCATCCTCTAATTAAAAAAGTCAGGGATTTTTCTGTTTTATATTGAAAAGCTTGGGAATAGACTGAATCCTAAGTACTTTGGTCTGAGAAGCACATGGTGCTTAGCAGTAGATTTTGTTGGTCTGCAAAATGTCCCATTTTTTGGCTTTGTACAGAAGGGCTTGCCATGCACATAAGGGAACATTTACTGCACAGCTCTTTAGCCTCACTCAGGTCAGCTTGGGCAATACAGATCATTCGCCTCTTTGGCTATATACATAAAGACAACCTGTGCTTCCAGAAGTGTTCCAGCATCTCAGTGAGGAGCCATGCACACCCACCACCCTCTGACGAGCTTCCTGAAAGCCCCTGAAGTAATTTCAGCAGCCCCTGAGTCTGCCCACACCAACAGCTCTGTACGTCCTGCCAGCGCTGCCCAGTGTGCAGAGTCCATCCCTCTAGAACTGGGAAAGCAGGCATTGCTTCCATCTACTGCTTCGTGTGACTGCTGAGGAAGTGTTCTCAGAATACAAACATCCACAACAGAAGCAGAAAGGAGAAAAGCAGAGCAAAGGAAGCTCTCTGCTTACTGTAAATAGCACTACTTACTGCAGGTACGAGACACAAACTCCTTTCTGCCTGAGTGGTCTGAACCGCTTGTTTGACGAAAGCATCTTAATCTAATTCCAAAGAACAGAGCATGTCATTCTATTCACTTCTTTATGCCTTTTGTAGCCTCTTAACACACTCTGAACCTCTCATCTCTATCCTTAGTCATCATTTATAAGACAACTGGGTCTAGTTTTAGGCCCCTTAATACAAGTAATACTCATATAAACCGGAGTGAATTCAGAGGAGAACCAAAAAATTAGTCAGCTCTTGCCATGTGAGGAGAGGGTGAAGGAATTGGGCTTGTTCAGCCTGGAGTGGGGCAGCATCAGGGGATCGGTCACAGCAGCCTTGTAGTGCCAAGGGAGAAGTTACTGGACAGGCTTTTCCAGGTGTGCTGTGACAAGGGAACCATGGACATTCACTGAAAACACAGCAGGTTCAACCTGGATATAAATTGAAATTCAACAGGTTCAGGATGTAAAGCAAGCCTTGTGGACGTTCAGGCAGTAGAGCAGGCTGCCCAGAGAAGTTGTGCCTCCATCCTTGGAGATTTTTCAAGGGCTGGTCCAAGCTCACAGCTGCCCCAGAGACCTCCTGTGATGTCTCTTCCCAGCTAAATTACAATTCTAATTCCATAAACATCATTGTGCTGAAGATTATAGAAGGGCAACACTGTCACTCTGATGTGACTTTTTTTTTCAAAATGGGAGATATTCAAAGCCTCTTAGCTACAAGAATAAGGTTCAAATTCATAAAATTCAGGCTTGCTATCTTGCAGGTGACTCTTGTAACCACCAGGTCATGAGGTACAGCAGCAACACTACCACACTCCATATTCCTCTGGCCATAGTTTGAAAAAGAAAAACCAACCCCTCAAAAGTGATGATTTTCTTACATAGACAATTCCTCTCATGACATATTTTGAGGAGGTTATGTGGGCATTATTTCTACACGTACATTCCACTATGTTTTAAAAGACTGGATGTCATTTGTCACTGATGTTGACAACATGGACATTTATGAATCAGATCCTCTCATAAGGATGACAAATGTTTAAGACTTTATTTGAATTTTGCACTCATTTCACATAAAGATTAAAAGATATTGTGTCTTTATACCAGCTTTGATAAGAAGTAAGAGTCTAGAGAGTAAGGAATAAAATTTGTACATTCCTTTTGGCTGCTCTGGTGGACTGCACGAAGGGCACATATTAGAGGTGTTTGTAACTGCATAAAATGAAGGAAAATCCTCTCCTAAATTAGCTTCATGCTTTTGGAAAACTTGTGCCTGGGTGAAGGCAGAACAAATTCTGGCTAAGCAAGGCCTCTGAAAACTTGCTATGTCCTACCCCACAGATGTTGTCACTTCCTTTGTTCCACTCTTGCTTTCCCAGCTTTAAAGTACTTCTCTTCTGCTGATGGTTCACCGTTAATGTGAACTAGGAGACTCATGAGAATAAGAACTGAACTGTTTTGCAAAACAGATTTTTAAAATTCCGTTTTAGAAATAAACCATCCCACACACTAAATTCTCTATGGAAAAAAAAGATCCCAAATTACTGGTTTACATCAATCACAATATTTCCACTGTAAACTTACTTCAGAAATAAAAGAGAAAATAAAATAAAAAACCCCTGCAAGCAAAAAGGCGAAAGTACAAACAATTTCATTTAAAAATACTAAAATGCCTTCACTCCTAACTGGAGTGCTCTTTTCCAACTTTCATCATGGTTTGGTTAGTATCAGCAGAGTGGGAAACACTTCAAGTCATGCTAAGTTTTCTTTTC